TTCAGACATCAAGAAGCATAAGGCATGTTAAGTGAAAGGCCCTGGATAACACACAACTTCTTCTCTTTATTTACCTGGTTCTTCCTGAGTCATACTGTTCCTACATTTCTTTAATTCTCCTTTTTTTGTGCAGTCATTGACAGACTGAAGGCAGTTACATCAGAGAGGAGAGGGAAAGGATTGTATTTATCTTTCCAGCTGTATCGGGGTATAATTGACAAAAATGGTACATATTTAGTTTGCACAACATGATTTTTAAGGTGTACAGTGTGATGATTTTATGTATGTGTGTGTATGTGTGTGTATATATATATTTATGTATATATGGAGAGAGAGAGAAATGATTACCTCAACCAAGTTAATTAACACATTCATCACCTCATATAGTTACTTTGTTTGTTTTTTGTGATAATACCTAAAACCTACTCTCTTAGCAAATTTCAAGTATACAATACAGTTTTATTAACTACAGTTATCATGCCATACAGATCCCAAGAACTCATTCATCTTATAGCTGAAAGTATGTGCCCTTTTGACCACTCTTTCCCCATTTCCCCCTCCACCCTCCAGCCCCTGGCGACCACTGTTCTACTTTTTGGTCCCAGAGGTTCAACTCTGTTAGAATTTACATATAAGTGAGATCAGACAGAATTTGTCTTTCTGTGTCTGGCTTATTTCACTCAGCCTAATGTCCTCTAAATTCATCCATGCTGTCACAAATGGCAGAATTTCCTTCTTTTTATCGCTGAAAAATATTCCATCATATGTATGTGTATGTAGCATATTTTCCTTTCTTATTCACCAATCGATGGACTCTTAGACCGTCTCCATATTGGCTATTGTGAATAATGCTGCAATGGACATAGGAGTGCAGCTATCTTGTTAAGAAATTGATTTCATTTCCTTTGGGAATATTCCTTGATGTGGTTTTGCTGGATCATATCGTAGTTCTATTTTTAATTTTTTGAGGAACCTCCATACTGTTTCCCATAGTGGCTGTATCAGTTTGCGTTTCCTTTTCTCCACATCTTCACCAACACTTGCCTTTTAGATAATAGCCATTCTAACGGATGTGAGGGGACATCTCATCATGGTTTTGATTTGCATTGATGATTAGTGATGTTGAATACCTTTTCATATACCTATTGGTCACTGTATGTTTTCTTTGCAATAATGTCTATATAGATCCTTTGCCCATTTAAAAATTGGATTATTTATTATTTTTTTTGCTATTGAGTTATATGACTTTCTTATACATTTTGGGATTAGCCTGTTAACAGGTATGTGGTTTGCAAATATTTCTTTCATTCCACAGGTTGCCTTTTCATTTTGTTGATAGTTTCCTTTGGTGTGTAGAAGTGTTTGGTTTAATGTAGTCCCACTTTTTAATTTCTGATTTCAATGCCTATCCTGTTTTGGTTTTATGGCCCCCCAAAAATCATTGCCAGGACCAGCTTCAAAGAGCTTATTCACTATGTTTTTTTCTGGGAATTTCACAGTTTCAGTTCTTACACTTATGTCTTCAATCCATTTCAGGTTAATTTTTGTATATGATGTAAGGTGAGAGTCCAGTTTCATTCTTTTGCATGTGGATATCCAGTTTACCCAAAGCCTTTTATTGAAGAGACAATCCTTTCTCCATTGTGTATTCTTGGCACCATGGTCAAAGATTGGTTGAACATATAGCATGGATTTATTTATGGACTCTCTATTCTGTTCCACTGATGTATGGCTCTGTTTTTGTGCCATTACCATACTGTTTCAATTACTATAGCTTTGTAATATAGTTTGAGATCAGTAAGTAAGTACCCTTAGCTTTGTTTTTTTCTAAAAATTGGTTTGGCTATTTGGGGGTCCTGTCTGGTTTCATGCAAATTTTAGGATTGTTTTTCTATTTTTGTGAAAAACCCTATCGGAATATTAATAGGGATTGTATTGAATCTGTTGATTGCTTTGGGTAGTATGAACATGTTAGCAATATTCTTCCAATCCATGAACATGGAAGTTTTTCTATATATTTGTGTTTTCTTCAATTTCTGTCATCAATATCTTATAGTTTTCAGTATACAGATCTTTCACTTTCTTAGTAGCTTCTTAGGTATTTTATTCTTTTAGATGCCATAGTAAATGGGATTATTTAAATGTGTATGGATAGAGAGACCGAGAGAGCACAGTAACTTGCTTAACTCTATAAAGTTGCCAAATGTGGAGCGCCTGGGTGGCTCAGTTCGTTAAGCGTCCAACTTCTGCTCAGGTCATGATCTCACCACTCAGGAGTGTAAGCACTACATCGGGCTCTGTGCTGACAGGTCAGAGCCTGGAGCCTGCTCCAAGTTCTGTATTTCCCTCTCTCTCTGCTCCTTCCCCACTCATACTCTGTCTCTCCCCAAAATGAATAAGTGTTAAAAAATTTTTTAATTAAAAAATAAAACTGCCAAATGTATCATTAGCATTCCTCTATCATTTCTTCCTCACTTAGTATGCCAGTTCTGTACTCTCATGGTCTCACAGTATCTCTGATTATCCTAATTTACCAAAGTTCTGCACTTTCTAAAATGCCCCATTTTAGAAATTTATTCTTCCTTTCTCCTTGATCATCAAAACACTAATTCCTTCAATAACCTCTGAGTTGCTAAAGTATTAGGAAGAAATTATGAATTCAGTTACATGATTAAGGTTATTCACAATAAAATTAGTTCATTTATTCAGTTATGTCAATAACTGAATATTTACTAGACATTTAAATGCCATTTCTGCTAAGTATACAGAAATATCTAAAACTCGGTCTCTTCTTTAAGGAACTCACAGTTAGAAATGAACTTACTTAACTCTCCAAAGAATGCTATTAATTTTAGTGGAAATGCTTGTTCACAGATCATACTTTGGTTGTTTTTATAACATGCTTAAAGTATCTCAGAGGCTGCCATAGGCAATGAAGGACAGATTTCATCTTACGCTACCAGCAATTCTAAATTACATAATGATCCTGGAATAAACACGTTGATGCCTCCATGCCCTGGCACATGCTAACTTCTTTGTGTATGATGCCTCACCCTTGTGCAATTCTTTTCATTCTTCAAAAGTCAACTGTAATGTCAACACTTTGCAAAGGACTTTATATCGTCACGTTTTCCTAATTGATCTCCAGTTTGAGCTATATCTGTACCTTATGTGTCACACTGTGTTCCCGTTTTTTAAGGCCTACCTCCTCTTTTTTAGACCATGAGCTCCTTCCTGCATACATTAGGAATTACTCACTTCCCAGGCAGACCTATAAGTAAGGCATTCAATAGGAAAAATTGAATGAAATTATTGAAAATCCATTATTTCTCTGCTTTCTTAAATAGATGCTAGTGAAATAGGTCATTTTTAGAACCTCAGGTTTATCATCACAGATTGTGAATCATTATTGTACTATGTTGTAGTGTAGTGTTGGTCTCTGCTTGCCCTTAAGATTTTTGGTTTATTCTAGGTAGTCTCTGCTTTCAAGCCTTTTTATTAATCTTCCTGCATGACAGTTGATCATGTCTCCAGTTCTTTCTGGTGTCAGTGTATCTGCTTTCAACAGCCCGCCTCTTCTCTTTCCCTTCCTTTCAAGGGATCATATTTTGATTTCCTGGCTGGGAACTCAGAGCACTAAGTTTATGAGAATAGAGGAAAGGAAAGGATTGTGACAGAGTGTCCCACGAATGGCTCGGTCTTAGCTCACAAACTTTGTAATACCCTTTTTTTTTTTTAAAAAAAAAGTTTTATTTATTTTAGTAATCTCTGCCTCCAACGTGGGGCTCAAACTCATGACCTCAAGATCAAAGCTGCATGCTCTTGTGACTGAGCCAGCCAGGAGCCTCTGTGGTAAGTTTTTATTATTATTTTAAAGATTTTTATATTTGTTTTGTTTGCAACTGGGTCCTACGTGGCTGAGGTAAGTGGAACTCTGGCTTCCACTTAAGTGTGATGTGCTTCTGAATTTTTACAGCTATCCATCCCACTTTTATTATTTTTTTAAAATTCATTTTGTTTAGTAATCTCTACACCCAAGGTGGGGCTTGAACTCGGGACCCCACAATGAACCGACCAGGTAGGTGCCCCCCTATGCATCCCACTTTTAAATGTCATTCAGGTACATAACACAAGGTTCTATAACGGTCATGTTTAACATTTAATGAGAAGCATTAAATCTAGAACTGTAAGTCATACGCTGCAGCTAGGAAATGCAGTCAATCTTGTAATCCATTTTAACCTGAAAATCTTTTTAATTTTTTACTAAGTTTACAACTTAGAGAATACTTTAAAACTCAATTTTACAGTGCCTCTCTTGGAAGAAAAGATGCTCTCCATCACACCAAGTGATAAAGATTCTAAAAATAAACAGAGGTGCCTGAGTGGCTAAGTCCACGAAGCTTGTGATTCGTGATTCTGGCCCAGGCCCGGTCAAGCGTCCTGACTCGGTCGGCACCAGCGGTGAGGAGCCTGCTGGGAATTCCCTCCCTCGGCCTCTCCTCTCCTCACACTCACTCTCTCAAGACAAGCATTAGGGGCCCCTGGGTGGCTCGGCTGGTGAGCACTCACTTGGGCTCAGGGCACCGTCTTCTGGTTTGGGAGTTCAAGCCCCCGTGCTTGCTACTGTCAGGGGGGCTTCACGCCCTTTGTCCCGCTCTCTCTGCCCCTCCCCTGCTTGCGCTCTCTCAGAAATAAATATTTAAAAATATATACATTAAAAATTCCAGTAATAAAAAAGAATCTGAAAATTCCGGAGTGCACTGAGGGAATATTTTCGTATCTCCCTGCTTTTTGTTTGTTTTTGTGTGTGGCAGGGAATGGCCACTTTCTAAAATCTTGTCATTTGTCACTGCAATCAAGGATTCACTGTGCTTCCCCTGTATACGGACAGCAGATCTTTACGGAGGATTCGCGAACGTTCTGTTTGCCCGTTTCAGCATTCCTGGAGCCTGGAGCAAGCGTCCTCTGACCCCCCTTCTGGGCGCAGAAGGACCGGTTTTTCATTCGCGACGGGGTGCGGGGGCTTCCAGAAGAATCTGGTAACTAATCAGCCATCTGCTCACCGCGCAGCGAAAACTGGAAGGGCCTGGATAACGCGAAGAAAACACCAGGCGTCGACGTCCAGAAACTGTCCTAAAAAATCCCGTATTTGGGGAGAGACGACTACACGCGGGAAAATTCACAGCCGGGAAGGCGACGCTCCAGGTCCGACGCGCGCCCTCCACGCGGGTGGGCGTAGGCGCGCTCTTCCCGCCTGCGTCCTGGGAAACCGCGGCCTGACGGGGCGGGGCGCGCGGCGTGCGGGCCGGCGCGGGGTGTTCTCGGCGGCCGTCTGCGCCTGCGCCGCGCCACCGCGCCCCCGCGCCCCGCAGGGAGGGAGGCCCGGATGGAGGACGCGGAGACGCGCCGTTGCTATGGCAGCTGGGGCCCGGCCGCCGAGGGAGCGGGGGCCGGGGTCTCCCTCGCCCGCCTGTCGGAGCTTAGAAGGCGGAGGTGAGAACTGCGCCGGCCGCCCGTGCGACCCCGGCCGCCGCGTCTCACACAGGCAGGAGGGGTCCAGAGGGAGAGCAGGGAAGGAAGGTGCGGAGATAGTCGTGGCGGCGATGTTTCCCGAGGGGACGGGGCCGAGCGTCGGGGGCGTCCGGGAGGAAGCGTGCGCGAGACGTCTGGCGCCGGAGTCCCGCGTCCAGCGAGCCCGCGGGGGAGGCGGGCAGCACCCCGCGTGGCTTTCTGTGAGGGGAACCCCTCCGAGGGTAGCTTCGTCTCCCGCTTTTGTCATCTTCTTTCCCGTCCCCAAGTTCTCGTCCCTGGGAGAAAAGAGTCACTCCTGAAACGGTGGCTCCCATGAAGAGGCTTAGGTATTCATTTAGGCGACGGTTCCTGGGGAGCCTGGATACAAATTAGAATGATCACCTAATGTTTGTAAAGTATTATTATTGTCATACTTGTGACAGTATGAATTTAAGATTCTTTTTTTAACTCATGGGGTTACCGTTCGGAAGGATGCAGCAGGAAGAACGGGCCAGGTGGTCTCACGGTGTTCGTAGGCTTGGCTTTTGCTTAAGCGCTTGTTTTGTGTTCAAACAGGCTGTCTTTGACGTTCCTTGGATTCTCTTCGGTGTTAAACAAACGTATGTTTAAAAGGCTATGAGATAAGACTGGGGTCAGTGAATGGGAGTAAACTATTTTCACAGGTCTGCGTCCTGACAGAAAGTTGTCAAAAGTGTGCATGCAGACTTCGCTGAGACTCACACACGCTAAAGCGTCTGCAGTCACAGGCCCACGTGGGAGTTAGCAGACACCCCGGAGGAAGGAATTAATTTGTCTCTTATTCTAGTTAACCTATTAAGAGGGCGGTTCTTATCCAGGCCACTTATGTAGATTTTTTACTGCTGATAAACCCTGAAATTTAAATGTGTGAAACTCAGGAGGAGTAAGTGCTACGGATTCAGTTGGTGTAAAATGTGTTTTTGTTCCAGTATGTTGAGTGTGCACCATATGGCCAGGACCCTGGGGATGATGATTGAAAGAACTGAAGGGGATTGGATATCCTGTGACGCATTTGAAAAAGTCTTAAGGGACTTGGTAACAAGAGTTTATGATTTATGTTCTTTGTTTACTTGGCAACCGGCCACGAAGTTTTTGAAGGGACAGGAAAAGGGGACAGGAAAAGAACGGCGGTACAAATTTAATGCATCTTCATTTACGTCTTAGAGTCACTTCAAACTGTGGCTTTTTCTCTTTTTAATTATTGCATAATTGTACGATTTAATAACACCTAGTGTGTTTGATTTTTTCATTTTATTTTTATTGATTATGCTGATTCTGTCTTTTAAATTTGAGCTTTCACATGGGTGAGCTTCTTTGTAAATATAAAAGCACAGCTATGAAAGTCCTCCGGCAACGATTTTTTACAAATTCAGAACTATATTTATTATAAAATTAAAGGAGAGTACTGAAGAGCTCCATAGAAATCTTATTCTAACAATTAGTTATGTAACCTAAACATCTTAGTAAACTCCAAGATCCCTGGTCTGAAAAGAAAGCTGATTATGCTAAGCCACTTGTGACTGTGAAAACCAGTATTGTTTCTATCAGTATTTTGGATCACAGTGAGTTTTAGTGTGTTCTAATCATCCACGGTGCACTTACTTTCAATTAGTACATCGTTAGACATAACAGTTGATGTGGTTTAGCCTGTCTCGTGGCCAGGCAGTGGTAAAGAAACTCACTCGGAAGTATTGGTTTGGTTTCTCTAGGTTACCTCAAAATATTATTGCTCTCAACCTTTACTTTACAAATTACTGAAACTTTACTTTGAGTTCTTTAAGAAAGTCCATTTTGTATTCTTAGTTTAAAAGAAATAACTATCTAGAAGGGATTGTAATCTAACACGTTGGGAATAGTTTTAATTATCGAGGTGAATAATTAGGTTGAATGATTTACATTCATGTACATAAAACTAACTTCCTCTTGAGAAGGGGAAGGGTACCAATACCAAACACCACGCTAAGGAAAGATGACATTTCAATGAAACAGACCAGAATTTTTTAAGTCTTGGATTTCAGAGGCCCAGATCATTTGTTTTCAATTAAGTTTATCATGCTACTATGCATTTCCTTTTAAATTCTCTTGCTTTTCATGAGTTGGCAATTATTTGCTTATTTGCAGCTTATAAAAAGTTTAAAATAAATCTTAGGGGTCCTCCAGTTTTTGCTAAAGCTCTTTGTCATTGACAGGGAATGCAACACTTCTTTTTTTTTTATTTATTTTTTTATTTTTATTTTTATTTTTATTTTTATTTTTATTTTTTTTTATTTCTAGGAGAGAGAGAGAGAGAGACAGCGTGAGCAGGGGAGGGTCAGAGAGAGAGGGAGTCACAGGCTGAAACAGGCTCCAGGCTCCGAGCTGGCAGTCAGCACAGAGCCCGACGCGGGGCTCGAACCCACGAACCGCGAGATCATGACCCAAGCGAAAGTCGGACGCTTAGCCGACTAAGCCACCCAGGCGCCCCTCTTTTTTTTTTTTTTTTTAATTTTTTAAAATGTTTTATTTATTTCTGAGACTGAGAGCCAAAAGGATGCCCAGGGAGGGTCAGAGAGAGAGGGAGATACAGAATCTGAAACAGGCTCCAGGCTCTGAGCTGGCTGTCAGCACAGAGCCCGACATGGGGCTTGAACCCACGAACCGTGAGGTCATGACCGGAACTGAAGTCGGATGCTTAACGGACTGAGCCACCCAGGTGCCCCAGGAATGCAACGCTTCTAATAGGCAACTTACTTTAGGACAAGTTTGCAATATAAATTCCGTTTTAAATTGCCAAAATTTGTCCTTGCGTTTCCAGCCCTTGACTAGTTTTTCTATTTGAAGTTGAACTTCAAATGGCAGCAGCCATTTGAATAATGTAAAGCAGGTGTCATGACTCTTTGATTTTCTCTTCTCTAGGGTAATATTCCTAGGGCATTCCTCTGAGCCTGGTTTTCAGGCATTTTACTCCCATAGCCAACCCTGAAGATGAGATTTCTGTAGTTCTTTTGAAACTGGACCTGAAATTCTATGTGCATTTAGACAGCGTTGCTCTTTCTGTTTTTGTTTAATAGTGGGTAATGTTCAGGTTATTATTATATATTTGCCTTTATGACAATTAGATCTACATAAAGTTCTCCCTCAACCCTGTCTTGAACAGATAACCTGACATCAGACTGATCCCTTCTCACTCCTTCCAGATTCTTCTTCAGGAACACATTATGTCAGGCCACAGTGCACAATTTCATGCAATTCCATGTTTGTTTGCTCTTTCTCCTGTTGTTCTCTTTATCTGAAATAACTGATGGACTCTTGTCCTCAGTATGTATATAGGAATATTGTAGGTATTCAACAAAGGTTCATCAAAACTGTACATATATACACATACATATGGTATGCTCACATACATATACAGACACATTATAGGTGAAGATTTATTCACTTCTTTTGTTTGAAAAATTATAGACAAAACAGTTAGCAGGGTGAGGAACTGACCTCAATCTATAGATAACTTTAGCTTTGTTCTCTTAAAAGTGACTGGATTTACACACCATTTTCATAAACACGAACGTTTACCAGACCTCCCTATTTATTTGTCACTGATAATGGGTACTATTAGGCATCACATTTTATTTTTTTTTTAATGAAAAATATAGTTCAGAGAGTTGAAAACAGTTTGACTTCTGCGGATATTAACATTTACCGTAGTTGAAAATCAGATGTTACTTAATTGAAAGCTCTCAGATCACAAATTATAACTATGCCCTATAAACTAGTAGGATTGAAACATTGAGGGTAGGAAGTGATACTCAGGTTTCTCCCACTGTTTGAGAGTTTGCTTTACACTTTTCTTTTACAAAAGACCCACATTAGTACCTGTTTTTGTTCACTGAATGAAATCTGAAGAGGATTTTTGCTTTTATGAAAAGGTAATTGCTTCTTTGCTTTCTGCCATGTTGGCTTTCAAAAGGTTTCGTTGGAATGCTCTGCTTTCAGAGAGCAGAGGAAGCCTGTCATTTGTTTTTATTTCAATATAAGACAATGTTAATGAGTATGACTTAAAAGCTGTGTCATCTGCTTTGACCTGGGCAAGGAGTTTTAATGATTGGCAGGGAGGGGTGTGGAAAATCCTCCTCTAAGCCTCAGAGAGTCTCTTTGTAAATCAGGGTTTCAGGAATTGGGTGGAGGGGGATGGTTTTTAGAGTGGTAGATCTAGAAAACGTCTGGCCATTGAAGGTCCCTCTTTCAGGGTATACAGATAGTATGTTTATTTGGAACATCTCATGCTTTGTGTTTCTATGTGTTGGTTAGCTTATTACATTAAACTCCATTCTCCACTCTTCCCCTAAAGTGGGCATAACATATACCTTGTCTTTTTAAATCTTACAGCATTATTCTTTAATAAACAGAAAATGGATGAAAGTAAAGATATGGACTCAAAAGAAAGTGGAGACTATGAAGATGACTTTGAAAAGGACCTGGAATGGTTAATTAATGAAAAAGAAAAAAGTGGTGCCAGCATAATAGAGGTATATATAAATTGCAAAAAGCATTCTTAATAATTACATTAACAGAGTGCTTTGTAATTCTTCAAGAGTTTTGCATATATTATGTCCTCTAAACCTCCCAAAATTCCTTTGATATACACGGACGGAACAAGTATCATTATTTCCGCCTTACAAATGAGAAAATGGAGACATTAAGAGTTTATATGTTGTATCCTAAGGCAAGAGATAATTAGTGAGAGAACAGGGATTAATTTAGCACTTAATAAAGTTTAAATTATAGTTAAAAATGGGAGTGCCTGGGTGTCTCAGTTGATTAAGCTTCTGACTTCAGCTCAGGTCATGATCTTGCAGTTTGTGAGTTCGAGCCCTGCATTGGGCTCTGTGCTGACAGCTCAGAGCCTTGAGCCTGCTTTGGATTCTGTGCCTCCCTCTCTTGCTCATGCTCTGTCTCTCTCTCAAAAATAAATGTTTAAAAAAACTAAAATAATAATTGAAAGTTATAATTTATGTAATATAAATGATTTATTGCATCAAAAATAAAAACAAGTACAATTAATTTCTACTTTCGATAAACTTGGAAAAATCATGGAATTATACTTTTTTTTTTTTTTTTTAAATATTTTTATTTATTTCTAGGAGAGAGAGAGAGAGAGACAGCGTGAGCAGGGGAGGGTCAGAGAGAGAGGGTGTCACAGACTGAAACAGGCTCCAGGTTCTGAGCTGGCAGTCAGCACAGAGCCCGACGCGGGGCTCGAACCCACAAACCGCGAGATCATGACCTAAGCGAAAGTCGGACGCTTAACCGACTAAGCCACCCAGGCGCCCCCATGGAATTATACTTTTAACATAAATGAAAATAAAGCAGATCCTCAAAAAACATGGTCTTTTGGCTAATATTTGAAGCCCTTAGACTGAATTAGCTCCTCAGGGGAATGTATATAGAGAAAAATGTAGAGAGTCAAAACTGAGCCATAGGAATACCATAGAAAACAGTGGACCCATTAAACATGATCATACAGTATTTATGAGACACATAGAAGGGAAATCCAGGAAAATGAAACTGTTCCTGGATCATGGACAGTTCTTTCTCTCTTTACATATTATATATATATTTATGCATATGTAGTGTATATGTGTGTCTCTATATAATTTGTGTGTGTATACATGTGCATATATATTCATACATGTATATATTCATATGCATATATGTATGAAATTAGAGTCAATAAATAGGGAAGTAATAAAGAAAAGATGTAAGACAGCTATAAGAATAGGTGACTTTAGAGGGACAGCGATCTAAGTAATTGCAACAGAAGTCAGATTTAAGAAGGTTAAGAAAAAGAATATGAGAAAAAGAAGACAGTAAGTTTTACATCACAAACTTCTCTTAAGTTCCATTTGCTTTCTTATACATTGGAGAGGAGAAATGGGATAATATTTGGAAAAGACAACAGTGAAAAGTAAAGATTTTTCTGAGATGGCCTTTAAATGGGAGTTTTATGTATCTTTAGCAGAAAAATAGTAAGAATGAGTAGAGGCAGAGATACCCCAGAGTGGTAAGTTCCAATCTCATGGCTGGAAGGGTATGTGATCCAAAGCACAGAGTGCTAGAATTAGAAAAGAGATAGTGATGATTCATTGCTTCATTTCTTAATTCATTCAGAAAATATTAATAATCACCTACCATGTATCAGAGGCTGTTGTGGGTGTTTGGGATACAGCAGTGGTCAAAACAAAGGGCTCTCGTCAATCTTACTCATTCTCGTGGGTGGTTATAATCACTTCTTCCTGTGAGGCTGCCAAGGAAAAATGGATGACAGATATAGAGACATGGATAAGGGCTGGGGTGGAATCTCACTGTAAAAAGTGGTAGTTATATTGCAGTGGGGTTTTCATTTTTTTGTTTCTTTGGCTTCTTTTGCAGTGGGTTTTAAAAAATTAAAACCAAAGAAAATTAGGAAACAGATACTGTCAGAATGAACAATGAATCAAATACAGCTTAAAAAACCCCAATTACAATGCAGAAATCTTAGTTTAATCTTACTTACTTGTTAGACGTTTTAACGGGCCAGGTTTATTTGCTTATCAGACGTCTGGCAATGCTGTGCAGGGTAGGAAGGGGCAGCTATCAGAAAAGATGACCTTTAAGCATGTAAAAGAGGAAGGGAATTTTATGAGTTTGAAGAGAGCAGCAGGTGGTAACTCCCGTAAAATTGTTTCAGGAGGGAGAGAAGTGTCCGAGAAAAAGAAAAAACTACTGTAGGGGGAAAGTGTTTCTGTTTGGTCGCTGAGTATGTATGTATGTGGGAAAGATGTTAGATAAGAAGCCTTTAATTAGAAACAGCAGGTGTAGAGCAGGGTTTGGTGATGTGATGATACTGATCTATGGTTCACATGGAACTATGCTTTTTTAATATAAGTTTATGATGGTGTTTAGCATAGACTGTTGGAGCCTTGGAGAATAGTTAGGAAGGAAAATGTCATCTGGAGATAAAAATTGACTGGAATTTGGATCCAGATCCTGCAGAAAATGGCAGCAGTAATAATCTGAAAAGATTATTATAGAGTCTCAGAATGATTAGAACTTGACTAAAGACTGAGGTTGTAATGGTCCTGGGGAGAAAGATAGTTTTTTGAAGAATACAAATATTATAAGAGAAAACATTAAAAAAAATTTTTTTTCTGAAAATTTAAAGTTAAGAATATTTTATAGAGGAGGCATATTAACATAATAATGTACTATTTGTAGTTACCTTTTCATTAGCATAAAACTTTTTAAAATGTTAATATAGCCCCTAGCAACATCCAATTCAGATTTAGCATTAAATTTTCCCTAAAGTGCTATTGTCACATGCATTTCCCTTGGGGTGCTCATAAATATTAGTTAGAATATTATGAGCACAGTAAAAGTAAGAAGCATGTAAATTTTCCCATTCACTAAATGTATGGCATGATTATGGAAACGCATTTTGGATTGTCTACATGTAAATGGACAAAGAGTCTCAATTTTTACTGAAAAAGAGAACCTCATATTATTTTTTTTAGATGGCTTGTGGGAATGAAGAGAATATTAATCAAGAATTAAAAGACAATGAAACAGAAACAGAACACACAGAACAGAATTCTGATCCTGACAAATCTTTGAAGGATGAAGTTTCACCAAGAAGAAATGCCTTCATTTCTGTCCCAAGTATTCAACCTTTGGATTCCATATCAGATTCAGATAGTGAAAACTCTTTCCAGGAATCCAGAATGGAGAGCCAGAGAGACCTGGAGGAGGAAGAGGATGAGGAAGTAAGGAGATATATTATGGAAAAAATTGTAGAAGCCAACAAGATTCTACAGAATCAAGAACCTGTGAATGATAAAAGGGAACGAAAACTTAAGTTCAAAGACAAATTAGTTGATTTGGAAGTTCCTCCACTGGAAGACACTGATTCTTACAAAAATCATCTTGAAAATGAAAGTAGTATGTCTGGAAAACTGTCACAGTTATGTATTTCCAATGAATTTGGACAAGAAAATGTGCTCCTGTCACTCACTGATGGAAATTGTGAAGAGAACAAGGATAGGAAAATACTAGTTGAGAGAGATGGAAAGTTTGAACTTCTGAATTTACAAGACATTGAGAGTCAGGGGTTTTTGCCCCCCATTAATACTAATGGTACAGAAAATGAACCTCACCAGTTGTCATCTAGGTCTTCCAACTCAAATGTCAATGGTGTCAACAAAGAAGAGCCTATAGCAATGATTCATGCTGTTGCTCATTCATCAGCAGAAGAGCCACTGGCTTACATCCCTCAGCCACCAACCAACCCCAAGACACGTCCAAGCTCTGCTGCCAACTCAGATCGAAGTAAGGGGAACGGGAAACCCAGTCACAGAACACAGTCTGCAAATACCTCTCCAGTGACCTCAACATATTGTCTTTCTCCTCGACAGAAAGAACTGCAAAAACGGCTAGAACAAAAGAGAGAAAAGCTAAAGAGGGAGGTGAGGCCATAAGTGGGCATCATATTGAAAGCAGAATATATTTTCATGTTTTATAAATGCAGTGGGAATTGAAATGGTCCCTCAAAGTACTGGATATATTTGCTTGCTTGTTTTGTTTTTCTATTGTTAGATTAAGTGGTTAAATATTAAGAATGCGGATTTACTGGGTAAACACCATGATTATGTTGGTCCTTTCTTGGAAGAATCACAGAGCATAGTAATGAATGACTCATGTTAGAGGTAGAGATATCAGTGATGACATCATCAGATCCTTTTTTTAAAGATGAGACTCAGAGAAGTGACTGCTGAAAGTAATCTTGATGTGAGCAGGTGAAAATCAGGTGTCAGATGGAAAAATGAAGGCACAAATTTGTTGGAGCTTAGGAGGCAATAGGTAGATTTGGATTATAATTCTCTGACTTATGTGTGTGTGTGTTTTCACATATTCTTCCATGCCTATAATTACTTGATTTCAGAGATTTTAGTTTTATTTTAAGAATAGAGCCTGATAACCTTAACAGAGTATTTCCAAAATGCCATATGGAATCCCAGATGATAATGATGATGATGATGATGACAGTGATCTGGTTCTGTGAATCAAGAAGCGGCTGTGAGGTAACCGAAGCATTTCTCTGGGGTCTTAGGGATTGCAATCCAGGAGACAGAGAGTCAACCTAAATCAAAAGTGTGCTCTGAATAGTGAGCTAGTGAGTAGGGAGTGCAGGCCTATAAAGGCAAAAACCACAAGTCTACATAACTTGTTTTGAAAGAATTATGATTGGTGATGGCAGAGTTTAAACTGACGAGCTAATACACATAGTCTGGCCAACAGATGTTACATTATCTCTATTTCCATCCGAAGTACAAGAATGTGTCTCACCAGGTGGTCAGGGTTGTGGTTGACAAGTTGCAGTTGACAAAAGTCAAAAGATCAGGTGGACTGAGAATTGAAACAGTGAACTTGAAATAGGAGACAATGCATAGGCCCCACTTCTTCAGTGTTCTTTCAACTCTATTTTGAGTGACTCTCTTAGCAATGCTGACTTCGTTTTGAATCTTCTTCCACCTTTCCCCCTTCTGATCAAGATCTTTCTGGCAGGAAAACATCAGTGACAAATTTTTATGATCACGCAGCCCTATTTCATTATTAAAGTGGTTGGCAACCTGCAATTTGCTCGGGGCCCCTCACGTACTTTGGAGGGTGGAATCTCATAGTGCTTGTTACTTGATATGTTCAACAAGCATGAGAGGTGAGAGTCTTCCATCCACACCTGAGTAACAAAGCGGTTTGAGAAAATAAGACCTAGAAGTCATTTAGATTCTCCTTTCTTTTCAGTCAAAGGGTACATCTGATGGATGGTTTTGAGTCTTTGAACAAACGTTATCTGAGTTCTGACAGGATTTGTAACATTGGCTATGAAAGCAATGACAGTGGGATAATAATGGGTATAGAACAAATTAAAACAATGATAAGATAGCTTGTAACCCAGGTCCCAGTTCTGATCAGGAGTTAACTAAAAATATCTGAGAATCTGAAATCCAGCCACCCAAAGGTTTTAGAGGGTGAGATTCCCCTGAGTGATTTAGAAAGCTTAAAAATCTTAGCAGTTTCTAATTCCAAGTGACAGGAAGCCTTATCCACATACAGCAAGAAGTGTTAGTGATGACTCTTCCTTGGATAACAAGTAAATAACCTACTGCTGTGCTATTATTGAGGATAACATGAGATAGAGTTTATAAAGATTTGCCCTGGCTCTAATATCTTGGGCAATGGACCTGGAAATTCTGCTGATGGTCCAAGAGAGATTTCTAATCATGGACTCATTCCAAGCCAACAACTGAAGATCCTCCCAAATTGGGCCCCTGTACAAAGGTTCTTCTTTCCTGGGAGATCATAGCCTTGAGAATGCCCACAACTATTATCTTTATATTTAGAGGGGTTGTCAACTGGATAATCATTTTCTTTTAGTTTTTTTAGTGGAGAGACTTCTTTTACTTCTATGATTAGTTCCTATATGGTTATCCTTTAGTAATTAACTTAAGGACAGATAAAAGGGAAGTTAGATATCCCAGGCGGCATTGCTCTGCCATTCTCCAGCTGTCTAGGCAAGCAGATGCCCAAGATTGTCCCCTGTAAGTGCAGATGAAAATGTATCCTGTAGGGGTGCAAAGCGTCTCTGCTTAGATCTGGTTATGGACTCCTTTACTGGTATAGAGGGCCTGATAGGAGAAAACCAGGGATCTATTTTATTTGAGCAGACAGAAAGGGGGTGGCTGTGTGATTCAGATCTTAGCTGAAAGAATCTTTTGTACGGGGGAGTCTTGCAGCTACAAGTGTCTGTTGAGGAACACGTGTTATTTGTGCCTTGGCACGTCTGCAAGAGCCAAGTAGAGGAGGTTTCTGGCTCTTGATAAACGGTTCGATCATTAGAATGTTTTTCTCCAGCATTTTGGGGTGGTTAAAGTGAAGCAGAGGGTGTTTTCTTTCCTGGGAGGCCAGATTATTTTAACTTGATAGGTGAGGTCAGAGGGGACAATCTAGTTTACAGTGAAATTACGGAGAAGAGTGAAATTATAAATGAGTTGCCCAAGAGTTTCCTGATCCCCCACAGGGGGCTGGGAATGACATACTCAGTAGCCAGAAGGGTTACCCGGGAGAGCTTGCTGTAGTTTGGGGTGTTTGAATTATGGCTTTGTCTACCATTTAGTTCCTCTAATTAGGGTAATAATAAGCAAGAGCAGAAAGCATCTCATGTTTTAAAAACAATCAAACTCAAGTAATCAGAATCACTGGTAGAAGTAGGATTAACCAGAGTGCTGAAGTGCCTGCTACAAGGGTTATTCCAAATATTTCATGAACATCAGGCATTAGTAAGAGTCTGTTGTGAGGTTATACAAGCCTGGTCATGACTCTTGGGAAAGCTGTCTGTGTACTTCAGGTGCTGTCTGCTTCTCATCCAGACTCTTGCTTTTGAGTGAATCTGGATATTTTTAGTTTGAGATCTCTTGTGGATGGGGATGTCCAGTCAGGTGAGGATGGCTTTTTTTTTTTTTTTTTTTAAATAAGAACTGTGAATCCATGGGTCAATGCCTTTAAGTTTAGCAGCATAGAGGTTAGTTAAGAATACTTAATATGACCCTTCCCAGTGAGGTTGGAGGGCATCCTTGTGAGGGTGACATTTCCAGTAAGCAAATGTCCAGGTGGGAGGTTATGATGTTGAAGATGTTTATCTCCCAGGAGTGTGTTGGGGAAGGATTGCTGTATGAGCTCGGTATTAGTTTCAAGTACTTTGATAAGATCTTTGCAGTAGATTAGTGGATTTCCTTTCCATAGTAGGCCATCCTCATAGGTGTTCAGATAATGATTTCAAAGGAAGATAATTCATGTGTATCAAACAGAGTGGATCTTAGGTTAAATAATATCAAATATAGACCAAAGCAGACTGAAAGATGCAGTAAGGTTTGCCACTGGGTCTTAATTATTCCATTTGTTTGTTCTACAGTGGCAGAGTGTTGGGGATGATATGTGCAATGAAAATGTTGTAATGTTGGCCAGATGTGGCAAATGGCCTTTAATATTTATTTTGTGAAATAGCTCCCTCAGTCATTGTGAAGTTCGGGGGTACACCTCAGTTTGGGATTATTTTCTGCAATAATTTTTTACCATGGAGCTGAAGCCATACTCCATGACTAGGAAAGGGTTCTGCACAATGAGAAAACATACAGGCCATTACTAGAACATACTTGTGTCTTTGAGATGGTGGCAGCTGGGTAAAATCCAACTGCCATATTTCAAAGGGCGCAGAGGGTAAGAGAAGATATCTCTGTCATCAGAAGGTAAGGGTTTAGAAGGCAGGGTTTAGAGAATGATAGTTCGAAATGATGACATTTGGGGAGACAGCAAGAGAGTTTCATAAAAGGTTAATCTGCTGGAGGACAAATGCCAAATATAATGAATCTCATTCTCATAATGGAGTTTGTAAAGGGGGTTGCTTATTTTCATGACATACATTTTATTTAAGTTATTTATTTATTTATTTTTTAAGTTTATTTATGTTGAGAGAGAGGTGTGAGAGGGAGAGGCGGATGGAGAGGGAGAGAGAACCATAAGCAGGCAGGCGGAGCCTGACACAGGGCTCAATCTCAAGAACCATGACATTATGACCTGAGCCAGAATCAACAGTCACATGCTTAACTGACAGTTGCCTAGGTGCCCCTATGACATACATTTTATTTTTTTATTTAAAACATTTAAAAATGTTTATTTATTTTTGAGAGAGAGAGAGAGCATAAGCATGGGAGGGTCAGAGAGAGAGGGAGACATGGAATCTGAAGCAGGCTGCAGGCTCTGAGCTGTCAGCACAGAGCCCGACATGGGGCTTGAACTCTCAAACCATGAGATGCTTAACCGACTGAGCCACCACCCAGGCACCCCTGTCATACATTTTAAAATGATGACTAATAACATTATATCAGGAAACAATCAGATTTCTGGGAATTTCACACAGAATTTGGAACATTGTATAGATGTTACATAAAGGAAGTTTAGTATTATTTCTTATTTGACAATGCTTCCCATGTGATTTTAACGTATCAAATAAACCTAATAGGTCCTATGGAATTTTCCAGTTCAAAAAGACTTTATTTAGAAGTTGATTTGAGGGAGTTTGTAAAAAATATCAAAAGGTTTGGATACTTGAGCCAGTAGGATAACAGAAAATTATAAAACAATATTTAATTATCCATTTAATCAAATTAATTTTCAGGGACAAATACAGGGAAAATTACAATTAGCTATAAAAGCCTTTGCTGGTCTTAATAGAGAAGAAGACTCAGTTTTCCCAAGTTATCAAAGATGTGATAAAGACAAAACATAGAACCTGTTTCCGAGGCAGATTACCCTGAAAGTAAAGAAACTTTGTCTGTACAATCTCTTATTAAGAGCAGGCTATCAATCTGAGAAAATTTGTCCTTTCAACAGAGAAAACCAAAATTTCGCA